CCGTCTCAAAAAAAATAAAAAAATAAAAAATAAATAAATAAATAAAAATAAAAAATAAAATAAATAAGTTTTTTAAAACTATGAAAGAACATTTGATTTCTGATCTTCCTGTTATATTCTGTGGGTTATGATGTATAATCCGGAGCTTGCAGAAAGTGGGACTCCACATTTTCCTGTGAGCACTAGTTACAGAGCAGAGCCTCATAGGCACTTGTTTTTTCCTTTTAGTCCATAGGCTGTTCTTGTTATCAGTGGCAGGGAATTTTGTATAATAGCATTTGAATTAAGTTTTCTTTCCTCAAAATTCCATCTGTATTCTGATGTTTAATATAATTTAAAATGTAATGTTCAAGAGCTTCTGTCATTTCTGTAGATATTTTTATTAATATAGATTGTTTAAAGATCTTGTATTCTAAGTCCATTATACATTAGTCTTTTAAAACATTTTAATTCATTGTCTTTTGCATCATTTATAGGTAATCACAGGGCCACAGATTCGCCCTGGTATGACCGTGATTAGAACACCACTCCAACAGTCAACACTAGGAAAGGCAATTATTCGAACACCTGTGATGGTACAGCCAGGTATTTATCCATCCAACATTATCATTTTACATCTAAACAGCGTCTAGGAAATATGTAATTCCCTGTATTTGGCGCTACATACTAGAAAATACCATTTGAATTAGTACTTTAAAGCATACTAAATTTCAAGTCTATTGTGAGATGTATTCATTGATATTATTTCATTTTGACATTGCCAGTAAAAGAAAAATAGGTTGAAGTAAGGTTATTAAAAATCTTAGAGAAACCACTAATAAATAAAATATATAGTTGAAGTAAACAGTCTGTATAGCAAATGACAGAAAAGCAAGGAGACAGCAAAGAAACATAAAACAAAATTACAAATGCCATGCCAGACATTCATTTATTACTCTTAATGTGACTAGATTAAAACTACCATTTTAAAAGTTGAAGACTGGCCAGGCAAGGTGGCTTTCCACTGTAATCCCAGCACTTTGGGAGGCCAAGGCAGGCATATCACAAGGCAGAACAGGAGTTCAAGACCAGCCTGGCAAACATGGCAAAATGCCATCTCTACTAAAAATATTTAAAAATTGGCTGGACATAGTGGCTCACCCACCTATAATCCCAGCTACTTGGGAGGCTGAGGTGGAAGAATTGCTTGAACCCAGGAGGCAGAGGTTTTTGTACCTTCACAAATACATACTTATTTAAAATATTTATAGGTTTGGCCGGGTGTGGTGGCTCACGCCCTGTAATCCCAGCACTTTGGGAGGCCACGGTGGGTGGATCACCTGAGGTCAGGAGTTCCAGACCAGCTTGGGCAACATGGTGAAACTGTCTCTACTAAAAATACCAAAAAAATCAGCTGGGTGTGGTGGTACACACCTGTAATCCCACCTACTTGGGAGACTGAGGCAGGAGAATCTATGTGAACCCGGGAGGCGGAGGTTGCAGTGAGCCGAGATCACACCACTGCACTCCATCCTGGGTGACAGAGTGAGACTCCGTCTCAAAAAAAAAAAAAAAAATTATATAGGCTTAAGCTGGGTGCAGTGGCTCACACCAGTAATCCCAGCACTTTGGGAGGCCAATATGAGTGGATCACCTGAGGTCCAGAGTTTGAGGCCAGCCTAGCTAACATGGTGGTGAGACCCCGCCTCTACAAAAAATACGAAAATTAGCCAGGCATGGTGGCGGGTGCCTTTAATCCCGGCTACTTGGGAGACTGAGGCAGAAGAATTGCTTGAACCTGGGAGTCAGAGGTTGTAGTGACCATGCCATTGCACTCCATCATGGGCAGCAAGAGTGAAACTGCATCTCAAATAAAAGATAAAAGTCAAAAAATATTTATAGGCTTTTTGGTGGAAAAGTAGTCCTTGGGTCATAGATAAAACCTTGATAAATTCCAAAAAGTAAAATGTGTATAGGCCACATTCTTACAGTAAAGCTAGAAATTAATATTAAGATACTATATTATGCTATAACAAGATGTATTAGGGAAAAAAAATAAAAAGACCTGGCCGGGTGTTGTGGCTCATGCCTATAATCCCAGCACTTTGCAGAGCCAAGATGGACGCATCACCTGAGGTCAGGAGTTCAAGACCAGACTAGCCAACATGGTGAAACCCCGTCTCTACTAAAAATACAAAAATTAGCTGGGCATGGTGGCAGGCGCTTGTAATCCCAGCTACTCAGGAGGCTAAGGCAGGAGAATCACTGCAACCTCAGGAGGCGGGGGTAGTAGTGAGCCAAGACTGGGCCATTGGACTCCAGCCTGGGTGACAAGAGTGAAACTCTGTCTCTAAAAAAAAAAAAAAAAAACATTATACTAATAACCTTAACTTGTTTAGAAGTATATAAGTATGTTCTAAGTAACTTTTAAGTTAAAGAAACATCAAACATCAAGTATGTAATTACAAAGCAATTCTCAAATAGCAACCTTAAGCCATGATGCTACAGTTAAACTTAGAGATGATTCAGTTTATTCAGTACATATTTGAACACCTACTCTAGGCAGTTGAAATAAATGAGTTAATAAAGCAGACCAAAAATACCCCTATTCTTAATCAGAAGTTAGAAATATAAATAAAACAAGTTTCAAAAGAAAACAAGGCCAGGTACAGTGGCTCACACCTATAATCCCAGCACTTTGTGAAACCAAGGCAGTCAGATCTGAACCTAGGAGTCCTAGACCAGCGTGGGCAGTGTAGTGAGACCCCAATTTCCACAAAAAAAGTTTTTAATTTAGCCAAGCTTGGTGGCACATGCCTGTGGTTTCAGCCACTTGGGAGGCTGAGGCAGGAGAATTACATGGGCCCATGAGCTCAAGGCTGCAGTGAGCCACAATCTTGACACTGTACCTCCAGCCTGGGTGACAGAGTAAGGCCTGTCTCAAAAAAAGAAAAAAGGAAAGAAAATGAGGGAGGAAATGAAAGCACAAGTAATAATAATTACAAAACAGACAGAAAAGACAAAAAAAAAATAGACCATTATTTTTAAAATCTAATCTAGGGAAAAGGGAAGAATATGCTTGTTAAGAGAATTAGGAATAAAAAAAAGTAAAATAAAAATAAAGTGAGCTTTTTTAACTCAAAAGAGAATTGGAGATCACCTGAGGTCAAGAGTTCAAGACCAGCCTGGCCAACATGATAAAACCCTGTCTCTACTAAAAATACAAAAATTAGCTGGGCATGGTGGCAGGTGCCTATAATCCTATCTGCTTGAGAAGTTGAGGTAGGGAGAACTGCTTGAACCCTGGAGGCGGAGGTTGCAGTGAGCCGAGATCGCACCACTGTACTACATATATATAACATGTTTCAAAAGAAACATATATAAAACAAGAGCAAGACTCTGTCTGGAAAAAAAAAAAAGAAAGAATTGGGTATAGGTATCCTTGTAGTAAGACTTTCAGAAGTCTCACTATCCGTACTTAGGACATAAATCTATTTGAATAGCAAGACATAATTAAATACTGTGCTAATAAATTGAATGTCTCAATGACATATCAACAGAAGAAATTTGAAAAGTTAATGTAATGTTACCTACAGCAAAGAATTGCAGACTTCATGGTTTTACAGGTAAAGTTCTTGGAAATGGGTAGGAAATAATTTTCTTATTATAAAACATGGTTCAAGGGCATAAGGGGAAAGATGGATAAAATCTTTCTTGTTTTACAAATTGAGCACCAATTCTAACGAAGTATAGCATAGTTTTTTTTGTTTGTTTGTTTGTTTGTTTTAAGGCAGTCGGCTTGCCTAAGTAGCATTTACCTGAGAAAAGAAAGGAAAATGGATTATATCAGTTAATGCTGCACGAACAATTGATAAGATTTAAGATTTATTATGTTTAAAACTTGTAGCTGTCAGTGAGGCAGGTAGCTACAAGGAAAGAAAGAGCTGATACAGAGGAGAAACTGAAATTTATAGGTGATGAATGTTTTCTATATGCTTAGAAAACTGACAGTTTTGGAAAATTGCCAGATAAACTGTAAATGCTGGTATTACTATGGAAACACAGAGCCCTTGTTGCATAATGCCCTATGTAGCTGTAATTATGTGTTTGTCTGACATGCATAAGTGAATCTGTAGTTTCCAAACCACTCCATCTCCAGGGTTTTGCTACATTTCTTCCCTGGAGTCTTGACGACCCTGTGAGGATAGGGTTTGTGTGATGAACTACCCAAGCCTGCCGCCTAGCTGTGCAGCACTCATTTAATGTACTTTAACGAAAGTCGACCTTAAACGAATTAATTCTTAGTAGTAATACTCTAAAATAGCAACTGTCATATATTCATCATTGACTCTGTGGCAGGGTATATGTGTTTTATACATAAACATTCATTTAATCTTCATATAAAGTAGATATTAATACTATCCCCATTTTACAGATGAGAAAATTGAAACTCAGAATGTTGAATAATTTCTCAAGCTATTAACCTGGGATTCAAACCAGATTTATCTCGGGAGGCTAAGGCAGGAGAATCGCTTGAACACGGGAGGCAGAGGTTGTGATGAGTCGAGATCATGCCATTGCATTCCACCCTGGGCAATGAGAGCGAAACTCTGTTTAAAAAAAAAAAAGAAAAATCAGAAGCACACAAAATTATATAACCAGGGATTTTACTATGGTGTTAAGTTTAACAACAACAACAAAAAGGTGTGGGGGAAGTATTCTGAATGTCAAAATGGATTTCATTTTATACATGTGCAGTAATAAGAAATATCATTCAGCCATAAGAAAACCACAAAGAAATATACATATATTCACAGATGAAAAAAAGGCAGAAACTAAATATTAAAAGCTTGAGAAATTTGATGTTATTCACTAGTTAGTAATGAGACTGTAAATGTCAAATTAGCTATCAGAAAATTACTGTTAGCAACTGTTCTACATGGGGGAAAATTCCACTTGCCTATTATAGTTTCAGCAAGTTAAACTAAAAAGGGCTTTTTGGAAGACCATAGAGCCATTTCAGTTAAACTTCATTCATTCAGTTCACATTTATTGAACAATTACTATGTAAGCATTATTTGAGCACTCTGCCCTAGTATTGAGGATATAGTGGTCCTTGCCCCCATGGTTCTCCCAAGCTGTCTATCAAATAGCTGTAAGAGAAACTTATTATTAATGCAATTGACCCAGAATATTCCAGATTCTTTATATTTTGTTTAAAATTCCTCTGAATTAAGTTTTTATTGTATTAGCATCTTTTTATTTATTTATTTATTTTTATCATTATGGCATCTTATTTTTAATGTTAGATTCCTAAGAAAAGGCAGCCTTATAAATGACGTATTTTACATACTCTTTTTTTGTCTTTCCTAGTATCTTTTTGGTTTTAGATTTATAGGAAGAATTTTAATTGGTTTTTTCCATTCTCCTATAGACAACAGAGACTGGATAATGGTTGGCAGTGAAAAGAGACTCACTGCCAACCAGGCAGGATCCCTGGGTGTGGACATACATCTGAATGTATCCTTGGGCTCTCAACATTTCAGTGTTTTTTTGAAAACGGAATTATTTCAATTCAAAATAATACCAAGGATGTATAAACATTCGTAATGTTTTGCTGTTTTGTATAGGTGCTCCTCAGCAAGTAATGACTCAAATCATCAGGGGGCAGCCTGTCTCCACTGCAATCTCTGCCCCTAACACGGTTCCCTCAACACCTGGGCAGAAAAGCTTAACTCCAGGAACATCCACTTCAAATATACAGTCTTCAACCTCACAGCCCCCTCGCCCGCAACAAGGACAAGTGAAGCTCACCATGGCTCAGCTCACTCAGTTAACACAGGGCCACGTAAGTGACATCGCTTATTTTAACTGCAGAGGTGGTCTTATTTATTCTTGCCGTAAGTTTAAAAACATGTACTTATTTAATAAGTTTTTAAATGTGCTGATTTGAAGAAATGACTACTTCCTGGAGTCAAACAGAAGTACTTTTTAGACAGGATATAATAAACCCCAATTAGTAGAGTAATCCTTAGACAGTGAGCTATAGCAATAAAACAGTTAACCCTTTTAATCACCAAAATTTTATTAGTTGGCTAATCTGCATGAGAAAAATAAAATTTGAGTACATTAAGCTGCTTCCTTGCAAGACTCAATATTATCAAGTATTCTAATATTGATTAATAGATTGAATGCAATTCCCATTAAAATCCCAAGAGTTGGCTGGGCGCAGTGGCTCACGTCTGTAATCCCAGCACTTTGGGAGGCTGAGGCAGGCCGATCACAAGGTCAGGAGATCAAGACCATCCTGGCTAACATGGTGAAACCCCATCTCTACTAAAAATACAAAAAAATCTAGCTGGGTGTGGTGGCACGTGCCTGTAGTCCCAGCTACTTAGGAGACTGAGGTAGGAGAATCGCTTGAACCCGGGAGGCAGAGGTTGCAGTGAGCCAAGATGGTGCCATCGCACTCCAAGCTGGGCATCGAAAGTGAAACTTCATCCCAAAAATTAAAATTACAATTTAAAAATCCCAAGAGTTTTTGTTTTTAATGAAACTTCACCGGCTGATACTAAAAATTTATATGGAGGTACAAAGTATTAAGAATATCTATACTGGCCGGGTACAGTGGCTCATGCCTGTAATCCCAGCACTTTGGGAGGCCAAGGCGGGTGGATCATGAGGTCAGGAGTTCAAGACCAGCATGGCCAAGAAACCCTGTCTCTACTAAAAATACAAAAATGAGCCGGGTACGGTGGCAGGAGCCTGTAATCCCAGCTACTTGGGAGGCTGAGGCAGGAGAATCACTTGAACCTGGGCAGCAGAGGTTGCAGTGAACCAAGATCGCGCCACTGCACTCCAGCCTTGGCAACAGAGTGAGACTCCATCCCATAAAAAAAAAAAAAAAAAAAAAAAAAAACAGAATATCTATACCTTTAAAGAACAGGATTATTTCCCCTGTATGATTAACCTAATATCCAAATTAGTATAGGCCAGGCGCAGTGACTCATGCCTGTAATCCCAGCACTTTGGGAGGCCAAGGCAATGGATTGCTTGAAGTCAGGAGTTTAAGACCAGCCTAACCAACTTGGTGAAACCCTGTCTCTAATAAAAGTGCAAAAAAATTAGCTGAGCATGGTGGCATGCACTAGTAACCCCAGCTACACAGGAGGCTGAGACAGGAGAATCGCTTGCACCTGGGGGGCAGAGGTTGTAGTGAGCCAAGATTGCACCACTGCACTCCAGCCTAGGCAACAGAGCAAGACTCCGTCTCAAAAAAAAAAAAAAGAAAACAAAAAGCTTAGTATATAATACTTCATTAATTAATATAGTGTTGTACAGACACAAGGAGAAGCAGACAGACCACCAGAACAGTAGAGAGTGAGGACATGAACCCCACGTATGTGGACAGTTGTTATATGACAAAGCTGACATTGCTGATCATTGAGGAAGAGATGACTTTTCAGTAAATGGTGCCGGGACAACTGAATATACATGAGAAACTGTGTAATTGGACCATTTTTACCTGACTCTACATAAACTCAATTCCAGGAGGACGAAAGTCTTAACTGTGAAAGGTAAAACTATAATACTTTTAGAAGATAAGATAGCAGAATATCTTTATAGCTTTCTTAACCACACGGAAAGCGATAACTATAAATTAAAGGATTATAAATTCAACTATTTTAAAAATAAGAACCTCTGTTCATCAAACGCACTACAGAGAGAGTGAAGAAAATGAGAAAAGGTATAAATACAACCAACCAAGGACTATTATATATCCAGAACATATAAAGAATTACCCCAAAATCAGCCGGGCATGGTGGCTCACACCCGTAATCCTAGCACTTTGGGATGCTGAGGCGGGCGGATTGCCTGAGCTTAGGTGTTCAACACCAGCCTGGGCAACTTGGTGAAACCTCATCTCTATTTTAAAAAAAAGAAAAAAGAATTACTACAAATCATGAAAAAAACAAAATCCAGATCAGTAGAGAAAAGGACAAACAGGCCAGGCACAGTGAGGTCAGGAGTTTTGAGACCAGCCTGGCCATCGCTGGGAAACCCCATTTCTACTAAAAATAGAAACATTAGCCTGGTGTGGTGGTGTATGCCTGTAATCCTAGCTGCTTGGGAGGCTGAGGCAGGAGAATTGCTTGAACCCAGGAAGCAGAGGTTGCAATGAGCCAAGATAAAGCACTGCACTCCAGCCTAGGCAATAGACTCCATCTCACAAAAAGTAAAGAAAAAAGGACAAACAAACATTATGAAGAAAGAAGAGATCTGAGTGTCCCAAATTCCAAAAAACTGCTGAACTTTATTAGTAGTGAAAGAAATGCATATTAAAACCATATGCTTAAGAAATTGGTACAAATTTAAATGTCCAACAAAACCAGGAGTTAGCAAAGACACAGAGCAGAAAGAATTCTCATGCACAGCTGATGGGCGTAGCAGTCGGTTAAGCCATTTTGGAAACCTCCTGGATGTTTTCTAGTAAATTTGAAGCTGTGCATGCCCGAGGTCCCAGTATACCTTCTAGATATATCTCTAGGAAATTCTTGGTCATGTGAGCACCAAGGTACATGGCATAAATACTCATAGCAGCATTGTTCCTAAGGGTCAAAAACCAAGAACAACCCCAATGTCTATCAAAATCAGCTAGATAAATTGTAGTATATTTCCACGGCAATAAAAATGAACAGACTTCAACCACACAGAACTACGCAGATGATTCTCACAAATATATAATGGTTGGCTAAAGAAGAAAGTAGCTATCCAAAAAAATACATGTTGTAAGATTCAGAAATAGGCAAAGCTAAGCTATTTTGTGTCGGGATACAGGGCTGCTGCATTGCCTGCCTGGAGGGGGCACCATTCCCATTGTATTCTTCGTAAATACTGCTCCTGAGGTTGTGAACCTCAGTGGCCCTGTATATACCTAAGATAAATACCAAAGTAAGAATGAAATACAATGTTATCAAAATGAGGATAGTGCTCACCTCTAGGGGATAGGGAGGGAATTAAGATCTGGGTGAGTCACGTGGGAGCTTCCAGCACATTGGCAATGGTGACCAGAGTGGTGGTTTTATAGGTGTTTACTTTGTAATTTTTAAATTATAGTTGGTGTTTTGTGTATTTTTGTGCATAAAAAATGTATTTTAGAAAAACAAGAGTAAATAAGCTTTGAGGAACTCGCACATATATGGAGCTTCCTAGTACCTGGACTTTGTGCCACCAGTTTTGGTCATTGGGAGTTTAGGGGAAGGTTTTTACTTTTGCTTTCTGGTTCTCCACCATGTTCCTGGGTATTCAAGGTTTCTAGTTTAATTAAAGTTCTGGAAAGAAGAGACAGTGCCTACAGAGTTTTAAATTTCTAGACCCCATTTTGGTAACTGCTCAGACCTTAATGATCCTCCTTACTTGGTGTTTGCGTTACATATCTAAAACCCTAAGCTTTTTACACTTTAGCACACACATACCTCATAGGTAATTTGGTACATATTGAAAGACAAAATTCAGGAGACCTGAGTTCCTCCTTTTATCTCACCTTTAAGTTGGGCAGAGCACTTGACCTTTTTTTTTTTTTTTTTTTTTTTTGAGATGGAGTTTTGCTCTCGTTACCCAGGCTGGAGTGCAATGGCACAATCTCAGGTCACCACAACCTCCAACTCCTGGGTTTAAGCAATTCTTCTGCCTCAGCCTCCCAAGCAGCTGGGACCAGTACTTGACCTTTCTAACTTGAGTGTCTTAGTTGGGAATAAGAGTAATAGGCCGGGTGCAGTGGCTCACACCTGTAATCCCAGCATTTTGGGAGGCTGAGGTGGGTGGATCATGAGGTCAAGAGTTCAAGACCAGCCTGGCCAATATGGTGAAACCCCGTCTCTACTAAAAATACAAAAATTAGCCAGGCAGGGTGGCAGGTGCCTGTAGTCCCAGCTATTCGGGAGCCTCAGGCAGGAGAATTGCTTGAACCCGAGAGGCAGAGGTTGCAGTGAGCCAAGATCTCACCACTGCACCCCAGCCTGGGTGGCAGAGCGAGACTTTGTCTCAAAAAAAAAGAATAAGCCGGGCGCGGTGGCTCACACCTGTAATCCCAGCACTTTGGGAGGCCGAGGCGGGTGGATCACGAGGTCAAGAGATCGAGACCATCCTGGTCAACATGGTGAAACCCCGTCTCTACTAAAAATACAAAAAACCAGCTGGGCATGGTGGCACATGCCTGTAATCCCAGCTACTCAGGAGGCTGAGGCAGGAGAATTGCCTGAACCCAGGAGGCGGAGGCTGCGGTGAGCCGAGATCGCGCCATTGCACTCCAGTGTGGCTAACGAGAGCGAAACTCCGTCTCAAAAAAAAAAAAAAAAAAGAATAATATTTTCTCTGCCCATCCCACAAAGTCACACATCCATTGTGATACTCAAATGAGACAATATATATGAAGATGCTTTCTTAATTATAAAATATGAATATAAGATTATTTAAAATCAGAATTTTATGGGGACCTTAGTCATTCAATATTTTATGGATTGGGAAACTTGGATCTGGAGAAACAGTGTTGTTTGTGGACAGATAACTGGCTGTGGACAGATAACCATTGGGAGAGTTGAACTGGAACTCTAGATTGTTGATGTTTTTCCTACTAAGCAACGTAAATATTCTTACTTTCGCTTACCTAAATTCCTGCTGGTGCCATTCAGATACGCATTTTCATTATATTAAAGGATCGTTACACATAAAAATGCTATACATACAGATTGATGCTTTGAACACTGTTTACATATTGTGTTTTTTTAATTTTTTTTCTTTCATTCTTTTTTTTTTTTTTTTTCTTTTTTAGCTACAATTCAAGATGATACATGTTGTGTTTTTTCCACAGGGTGGCAATCAAGGTTTGACAGTAGTAATTCAAGGACAAGGTCAAACTACTGGACAGTTGCAGTTGATACCTCAAGGGGTGACTGTACTCCCAGGCCCAGGCCAGCAGCTAATGCAAGCTGCAATGCCAAATGGTACTGTTCAGCGATTCCTCTTTACCCCATTGGCAACTACAGCCACCACAGCCAGCACCACCACCACCACTGTTTCCACGACAGCAGCAGGTAGAGCTGTGGGTTTATCAGAAATGTCGGATGTTACTACTACACGTTGCTGGGTAACAGAGGCCAACAGGAGAACCAACATTTACCCTTGGAAGAATATGGCTCAAGCCAGTGAGCTCAACAGTTGACATAGTCAGCCTACAGCATCTCGAAGCTTGTAACCTATTTTTACAGGCTCCCTGTTACCACCACCCTCTCCCTCCCATTAAAAAAAGAGAGAAAGAAAAAAAAGAAAGAAAGGGGGCAAAAATAATGGTTATCTTGGTAACTGTGCCCACACTTACTCCTTGCCAGGCCTTGTAGGTGCAGATTGAGTCGTGGAGATGATCTCAGGGAGGGTGGGTAAATCCAGTTCATGACGTGAAATTGAGAGCAGGTCCAGAACCACTTTTTTGGCCTTCTGCTGCAAGTCATTATAACTAACTGCCACCACATCATGGGAGAAAAGTGAGGCTTAACAGTTAGCCTGGGCCAGGTGACCCAGCTAATTTCCAGAGACTGCACTTCAGAAGCCAGCCCTCTGGAGAGTTAGGAGGGTCTACAGGGGACAGCCAAGAAACAGGCCCAGGCTCCCCAGTTTAGGAGAGGCCTGCCCTAAGCATGTCTAGATGGAGCATTTCAAAGGCATAGACCTTCTATACTAAAATACCAAAATTCTCAACTTTATTTTACTTTATTTGTTTTGAGACAGGGTCTTACTCTGTCGCCCAGGCTGAAGTGAAGTAGCACCATTACTGCTCACTGCAGCCTTGACCTCCTGGACTCAAGCAATCCTCCCACCTCAGCCTCCCAGGTAGCTGGGACTATAGGCATGCTCCAGTATGCCCAGATTATTTTTTCTATGTTTTTGCTCTTGTGTAGAGATGGGGTCTCACTATGTTGTTCAAGCAGTCCTCCCACCTCAACCTCCCAAAGTGCACAGGCATGAGCCACTGCGCCTGGCCAAAATTCTCAGCTTTAGAAAATCCCCTTCAGATTCTTCTTTAACCACAGTCTTATGTTCTAGAATAATAGAAATGGTTCATCTTTCCTTTTTACAGGTACAGGTGAACAAAGACAAAGTAAATTGTCACCCCAGACGCAGGTACATCAAGACAAAACCTTGCCACCAGCTCAGTCATCAAGTATGGGTCCAGCAGAAGCCCAGCCACAGACTGCTCAGCCTTCAGCTCAGCCCCAGCCCCAAACCCAGCCCCAGTCCCCAGCTCAACCTGAAGTTCAGACTCAGCCTGAAGTTCAGACCCAAACAACTGTTGCATCCCATGTCCCTTCTGAAGCACAACCCACCCAAGCACAGTCATCCAAACCCCAAGTTGCAGCACAGTCTCAGCCTCAAAGTAATGTCCAAGGACAGTCTCCTGTTCGTGTCCAAAGTCCATCACAGACTCGAATACGTCCATCAACTCCATCCCAAGTGTCTCCTGGACAACAATCCCAGGTTCAGACTACAACCTCACAACCGATCCCAATTCAACCACATACATCTCTTCAGATACCTTCCCAAGGCCAGCCACAATCACAACCCCAGGTACAGTCTTCAACTCAAACTCTTTCATCAGGACAAACTTTAAATCAAGTTACTGTTTCATCCCCATCCCGTCCTCAGCTACAAACACAGCAGCCACAGCCCCAAGTCATTGCTGTGCCTCAGCTGCAACAACAAGTCCAGGTTCTCTCTCAGATCCAGTCACAGGTTGTGGCTCAGATACAGGCTCAGCAAAGTGGTGTGCCCCAGCAAATCAAACTCCAGTTACCTATCCAAATTCAGCAAAGCAGTGCTGTGCAGACTCACCAGATTCAGAATGTGGTTACAGTGCAGGCAGCCAGTGTGCAAGAGCAGTTGCAAAGGGTTCAGCAACTCAGGGATCAGCAGCAAAAGAAGAAACAGCAACAGATAGAAATTAAGCGTGAACACACCCTCCAAGCTTCTAATCAAAGTGAAATCATTCAGAAACAGGTAAAGTTATTAAGTAAAAGCAGCATGTTCAGTAGCTTGAATTATTGTGCTGTGCAGTAGACTTAGTGTTTGGTTGTGTTAGGTTTCCTAAATGAGACAAAGTCATTAATGTTTAAATTCAGAAGAAACACTGAATTGACCAAACGAAATATTGAATGACTGCTGTGGTGTGGAAAGCCTTCGTTGGATATGTATAATAGTCAGTGCTTATGAGGAATGACCTGTATTTTGGGAGGACTAAGATGGGAAGAATGGAGTTACGAGCTTTAATCATTAACATAAAACTTAAGGGTTTAACTAAGTTTTAAAGCCACTTCAGACATTATAGCAATTCCTTTGAAGTTACTCGAAGTTGTCATTCCTTAGTTTGCATAAAGACTGTGCCAGTTACGGACAGATTAAACTCATTTGCATTTCTGGTCACATCTTTGTAAAAAAGTAGCTTAAATAAAAAGTGGCATCATTCAGCAACATCTTGCAATGAATGGCATATTAGTGAAATAAAGCAATTTAGATGGGTTAGAATTAGTCTACTAAAATGAAGTCACACATAAAACATTTGATAGCGTTCCTGGCAGAAACCATCTTTTCATCTACCTGTAGCTTGCTTCGCTTAGCACTAGGCAGGAGTTTGAGTGTGGAGTTCAAGTGTTACCCAGTTGTGAGACCTTCATTCAGTTCCTCGGTCTCCCATTCACAGTTCATGAAACTCACTTATTCCTCCTTAGCTATAGCCTCTTAAAACCCTTCTCTTTCCAGCCACACAAGATTATTGCAATGATTAAATGAGGTACTATATATAGAACCACTTTTTAAACAGCAAATGTAAGGTGATACTCTTATGAAAGTGATGGTCATAGGTATTATATTTAAATGTACTATTACCTAGCTCTACTGTGTATCTGTAAATTGAAAATTACTACACTGTCTATCCCCTAATCTTTGTATAGGGAAGACAAGGGACAGCTCTTTAAAATTAATTCCTGGGAAGAAAGCATAATGTTAAAAATATGGCCTTTGGAGGAAGATAGCCAGGTTAAAATTTCAGCTATATTACTTATCGTTTCCAAACAAGGTGGTTAATTTCCCTGTATCTCTGTATCTTGTTTATAAAATGATTGCTATGGTTCAGTATCATTACGAGGAATAAATGAGGTAATGTCAAGTGCTTAGCTTAGCACAGTACCCAGCAGATGGTAAGCACCCAGGCCATCTAATAGCTGCTAATTTTATTTATGTTACGATATAAAATTCTTAGTTTCTTTAAAAAAAAACACATTTATGTGCTCAAATTTCTACTGTTGTTATCTGTGCACTAACCTGTGGTCATTATAAAATATGCGCTTTGGATCTATTCTGTCCTGAAGGTGGTGATGAAGCATAATGCTGTAATAGAACATTTAAAACAGAAAAAGAGCATGACTCCAGCTGAAAGAGAAGAGAATCAAAGGTAGGGGAGATGCAGGGTCTTGTTGTCTGTCCGTCTCTTCTCTTTATCGTGCACACGCACAGAGTTCTGAGTTTATACTTGTTTGTCTTGATTGAAGTTCATTAAATGAGAACACTTGGCACTAATAGTTCCTTATAACTGGTTTGAACCACTCTTGAAGTTTTCCTGTCACAGAAAGTTTGTGTCTCATCTGTAGAGGCATAGAAGAATCATGTCTTAAGCCTTTCAAAGTGAAATACCCAGCATTACATAGGTTGTATATTTTTCTCTAGAATGATTGTCTGTAACCAGGTGATGAAGTATATTTTGGATAAGATAGATAAAGAAGAAAAACAGGCAGCAAAAAAACGGAAGCGGGAAGAGAGCGTGGAGCAGAAACGTAGCAAGCAGAATGCCACTAAGCTGTCAGCTCTGCTCTTCAAGCACAAAGAGCAGCTCAGAGCCGAGATCCTGAAGAAGAGAGCACTCCTGGACAAGGATCTGCAAATTGAAGTGCAGGTAAGAGGCCATGTCCTTTTCTTCTGTGTCCAGTATTTAGCATCTAAGGTTCTTTTTTCCCTTGCCTTTTTAATAAGGTTTAAAATTTCAGTATGTTTTCTGGAATTTACATTTGTGTACATAAAGAACTGTGAGACGCATGTGTCTTAAGAAACAAGTCAGAGCGTTTATAACTAAATGTATATTGTATTCTCCAAACTGGGAACTCTGAGAGATTAGTCTCTTAATTGAAATGTTGTAGAACTCTGAGAAGAGCTTTTTATGTCTATGACATAGTCTGGCCAAAAGTAATCAGGAATAGAATTTCATGAAAAAAGTGCAGCCTGCGAAGTAACGTTGAAAGAATGAAACGTAGCATGTCCATTAAATAAGACAAATTTCACCAGGACGAGGTGGCTCACTCCTGTACCCGCAGCACTTTGGGAGGCCAAGACAGGCAGATCACTTGAGACCAGGAGTTTGAGACTAGCCTGGCCAACATGGCGAGACTTCATCTCTACAAAAAATGAAAAAGCCAGATGTCGTGGCACATACCTGTGGTCCCAGCTACTTGGAAGGCTGAGGCAGAAGGATCACCTGAGCCTGGCAGGTTGAAGCTGCCAGTCAGCCCTGATGGCACCACTGCACTGCAGCCTGGGCAACAGAGCAAGATCCTGTCTCAAAAAAAAAAAAAAAAAAAAGAAAGGAAGAAATAAAAATTTCTTCCTTGACTTGTAAATGATTCTGTAGGTATTGCTAACCTGCCTTCTAGAGGAATTTATTAAAAAATGAAAGTAGGCTAGCTGTGGTGGCTTATGCCTGTAATCCCAGCACTTTGAGAAGCCAAGGTGGGCAGATCATTTGAGCCCAGGAGTTCAAGATCAGCCTAGGCAACATGGCAAAACCCCATCTCTACAAAAAATATAAAATTAGCCAGGCGTGGTGGCGTACACCTGTAGCTCCAGCTACTTGGGAGCCTAAGGCAGGAGGATCACTTGAACCTGGAAGGCGGAAGTTGCAGTGAGCCTTCATCGCACCACTGCACTCCAGCCTGGGGAACACAGTAAGATTCTGTCTCAAAAAAAAAAAAAAAATAGGGGCCGGGCGCGGTGGCTCAAGCCTGTAATCCCAGCACTTTGGGAGGCTGAGGCGGGTGGATCACGAGGTCAAGAGATTGAGACCATCCTGGTCAACATGGTGAAACCCCGTCTCTACTAAAGATACAAAAAATTAGCTGGGCATGGTGGTGCGTGCCTGTAATCCCAGCTACTCAGGAGGCTGAGGCAGGAGAATTGCCTGAACCCAGGAGGCGGAGGTTGCGGTGAGCCGAGATCATGCCATTGCACTCCAGCCTGGGAAAAATGAGTGAAAACCCCCCTCAAAAAAAAAAAAAAAAAAAAAAAAATAGAGTAGACATTTATTTATACATACATACATACATATATATGTGTGTGTGTGTGTGTGTGTGTATGTATATATATGTATGTATATATACACACACATATATAATTTATACATAATTACACAGCTTTTTTTTTTTGAGACGGAGTTTCACTCATGGTAGCCAGGCTGGAGTGCAATGGCACGATCTCGGCTCACCGCAACCTCCGCCTCCTAGGTTCAGGCAATTCTCCTGCCTCAGCCTCCTGAGTAGCTGGGATTACAGGCACGCACCACCATGCCCAGCTAATTTTTTGTATCTTTAGTAGAGACGGGGTTTCACCATGTTGACCAGGATGGTCTTGATCTCTTGACCTCGTGATCCACCCGCCTCGGCCTCCCAAAGTGCTGGGATTACAGGCTTGAGCCACCGCGCCCGGCCTACACAGCTTTTTAAAAGAGAAGTAGGCTATATCAAACAATTCAAAGTCGGGCGCAGCAGCTCATGCCTGTAATCCCAGCACCTGGGTGGCCAAGGCGGGTAGATTACCTGAGGTCAGGAGTTCAAGAACAGCCTAGCTAACATGGTGAAATCCATCACTACGAAAAAATACAAAAATTAGCCTGGCATGGTGACAGGTACCTGTAATCCCAGCTTCTTGGGAGCTGAGGCAGGGAGAATTGCTTGAACCCGAGAGGTGGAGGTTGCAGTGAGCCAAGATCGCACCACTGCACTCCAGCCTGGGCAACAGAACAAGATTTTGTCTCAAAAAATAAATAAAACATTTCATAACATGTCTTAAACATTTTAAGAAGGTATGAAATAGGCCAGGCATAGTGGCTTGTACCTGTAATCCCTGCACTTTGGGACGCTGAGGCAGATAGATCACTTGAGCTCAGGCTGAGGCTGCAGTGAGCCAAAATCATGCCATTGCACTCCAGCCTGGGTAACAGAGCAAGACTGTCTCAAAAAAAAAAAAGATGAGAAATAGTAAGAAAATATTAATCAAACCAACAATCAACATTACCTAGCTTAGAGACATTAGAGATCTTCCAGTTAAAGTCAGAAACCCCAACTGTGCCAACAATCAACATTGTTACTTAGCATTTCTGGAAGTTCTGGCTAATGTGTTAAGTCAAGAAAAAGAAACCATAGACAAAAAATGGAGAAAAGAAGACAACATTGTTTTTATGTGTGATATGGTTATTACATCAAAACCCCAAGAGAGTAATTATTATAATTTACAATTCAAACCTGTGGACAATGGCTCACACCTGTAATCCCAGCACTTTGGGGCGCCAAGGTGGGCAGATCATTTGCGGTCAGGAGCTTGAGACCAACCTGACCAATGTGGCAAAACACAGTCTCTACTAAAAATACAAAAAAAATTAGCCGGGCATGGCGGCAGGTACATGTAGTCCCAGCTGCTTGGGAGGCTGAGGCAGGAGAAACGCTTGAACCTGGGAGGCAGAGGTTACAATAAACCCAGTCCAGCCTGGGTGACAGAGTGAGACTCAGTCTCAAAAAGATTATAATTCAGCAACATAGTTACAAGATAAACATTGAACCTACCTCCGAGCTTCAAACGATTCTCCTGCCTCAGCCTCCTGAGTTGCTGAGATTACAGGCTTGTGCCACCACGCCTGGCTAACTTTTTGTATTTTTAGCAGAGTTAGAGTTTCACCATGTTACCCAAACTGGTCTTGAACTCCTGACCTCAAGTGATCTTCCCTCCTCAGCCTCCCCAAGTGCTGGGATAACAGGCATGAGTCACCACGCCCAGCCAACAGGCTTAATTTTTTAGAGCAGTTTTTTTTTTTTGTTTTGTTTTGTTTTTTTTTTTTTTTGGCAGAAAAGCGATTTATTAGGCAGAGAGAGAAAAGTAGGGAGAGAGAGAAAGCCAGCTCCCACAGTGTCGTGGGAGGGGATCCCAGAGAGGGAAATCCCGTTTAGAGCAGTTTTACATGCAGAATGGACAGTTCTCATATTATTCCTCCCCCACTGACACACAACTTTCCCTGTTATTAACATTAGCATGGCACAATTGTTAGAATTAATGAGCCAATATTACTAACTGACATTTATATTTTACATTAAGCTTAACTTTTCGTGTTCTATGGACTTAGCAAATCCCAAATGTAACATATTCATCGTCACAGTATCATTCATAATAGTTACACTGTCCTAACAGTCCTGTGTGCCACCTTCTTATTCCTCCTCCTCGCTCCATGCCAATCTTTTTGATAAAATAATTTGTTTTTTAATAAAGCTTATACCTTCATTACATCTTTGAATATATTAGTAAAGTTTTTGTCAAATTGTTCTTTTTTTTTTTTTTTTTTTTTTGAGACGGAGTCTTGCTCTGCCACCCAGGCTGGAGTACAATGGCTCCATCTCTGCTCACAGCAGCCTCCTTCTCCCAGGTTCAAGTGATTCTCCTGCCTCAGCCTCCTGAGTAGATGGAATTACAGGTACCCACCCACCACCGTGGTTAGCTAATTTTTGTATTTTTCATTTGGAGTGAATTCAGATTAAACCATTGATTTTATTGGCTTTTTTTTTTTTTTTTTTTTTTGAGAAGCAGGGTCTTGTTCTGTTGCCCAGGCTGGAGTGCAGTGGTACAGTCACAGCCCGCTGCAGCCTCCTCCTACCCAGATCAGTTAGCCCTTCAGCCTCAGCTTCCCAAGTAGCTGGGACTACAGGCGCGTGCCATGCTAGCATGTCTGTCTAATTTTGGTTTTTTGTTGTTGTTGTTGTTGTTGTTGTTGTTGATGTTATTGTTGTCATTTTTTTTGTAGAGACAAGGTTTTGCCGTGTTACCAGGCTGGTCTCAAACTCCTGGGCACAAGCAAGTGATCCTCCTGCCTCAACCTCCCAGAGTGCTGGGATTACAGGCGTGAGCCACCATGCTTGGCCCTGGTTGTCTTCCTTTCATATTACATGTTTTCGTTTTCAAACATTTGAGTTTTGCAAGCTTATTTTGAGTAAGAGGAGTTTGTTTTTGTTTTCTCTCCTGAAGCCCAGTGTAGCCCAACAGGGAGCCAGCTCTTATCCCTGCCTCATAAACAGCATGTTAGTCTAAATTTCTCTTTTTTATATTTTACTCTCACTTGTATGTTTTTGAAGGGAAAGGGAGGATCAAAGTGTATGCCCCCTATACCATCTTGGTTTTCCCAAAATCCATTCTATGATGTTATAAATATATTATATGAACTAGGAAATGAAACTCAAGGGTTTTCCTAGTAAGAAGTTCAGTCTTTCTCTTTAAATAGAGAAGGGCTGTTGAATCATTTGTCACATTGCTTCTCTTTTGACTTTATAAGACTAGATAGTCTGTAGGGAGAGAAACAGATTTCTTAAACCAGGGCCATTGAGGTTTATTTGATAAAATGTTTGTGATATGTTTAAAAGTTTCCTGAGGTACTCACGTGATGATTGTTACTAGTGTAATTGGTGCATAGGGATGGGTGACCCTGCAAAGAGGGGCACAGCAAACTGTATTTCAGGTGCAGGTGGACCTTACCTTTAGGCAAATACTTGAAATTTTGGCAGGGGGAATCAAGTTTTCCTGTGAGTTTTTTGTTTTTGGCTTTTCATAGACATCTATGTGAAGTCTCTGCTTTAGAATCTATAAAACAATAGCTTCAGAGGCTAGGTGCAGCGTTGGGAGGCCAAGGCGGGAGGACGACTTAAGATCAAGAGTTTGAGACCAGCCTGGCTAACAGGGCGAAACCCCATCTCTACTAAAAATGCAAAAATTAGCCAGGCATGGTGGCAGGGGCCTATAATCCCAGCTATTTGGGAAGCTGAGGGAAGAGGATCACTTGAACCTGGAAGGCAGAGGTTGCAGTGAGCTGAGATTGTAGCACTGCATGACAGAGTGAGACTCCATCTCAAAACAAAAAAACTATAGCTTCAGAGATTCACTTAAATTATCATTTATATGCCAGGAGAGGTGTGGCTCACGCCTGTAATCCCAGCACTCTGGAAGGCTAAGGTGGGCAGATCACTTGAGGACAGGATTTTGAGACCAGCCTAGGCAACATGGCAAAACCCTGTTTTTATAAAAAAGAATTCACTGGGTGTTGTGATGCACACCTGTAGTCTCTGCTACTTGGCAAGCTGGAGGCAGGGGGATTGCTTGAGCTTGGGAGGTTGAGGCTGCATTGAGCCATGATAGCACCACTGCACTCCAGCCTGGGCAATCAAGTGAGGCCTATCTCCAAAAGTTTTTTTGTTCTGTTTCGTTTTGTTTTAGGCAGGCTCTCACTTTGTCATCTATGTTGGAGTACAGTGGTGGCATCACAGCTCACTGAAGTCTTGACCTCCCAGGCTTAAGGGATCCTCCCACCTCAGCCTTCCAAGTAGCTGGCAGTATAGGCATGTGCCACCACACCTGACTAATTTTTGTATTTTTAGTAGAGATGGGGTTTCGCCCTGTTGGCCAGGCTGGTCACTTGAGTTTAGGAGTTAAGTTACCTGGACAACACAGCAAGACTCCAGAACTCAAGTGGTCCTCCAGCCTCAGCCTCCCAAAGTGCTGGGATACAGGTGTGAGCCACTGTGCTGGACGAATTTTTTTAAAGAAGGAAAAATAAAATGAATTCAGTCCTTCATTTAAAAAAAAAAAAGAAAACTTTAAAGGAAATGTGGGCTAAGTTATTTTCCTGAGACACTATAAAATTTAGGAAGAAAAATAATCACAATAAAATGTTTGGGGACTATTTTTGGTATTTTAAATTATTGTAGAAATTTATAAATGTGTCAGATTTTGACCAGGCACAGTGGCTCACACCTGTAATCCAAGCACTTTTGGGAGGCCAAGGTGGGTGGACCACCTGAAGTCAGGAGTTCGAGATCAGCCTATCCAACATGGTGAAACTCTAAAAGAGTTTTTTAAAATGTTTTTAAGTCAGATTTTAAAAAATATTCTTATGGCCAGGTGCAAGCGTCACATTCCTGCCTGTTAGCCCAACACTTTGAGAGGCCAAGGCCGGCAGATCACTTGAGCTCAGGAGTTAAGTTGCCTTGGCAACACAGCAAGAGTCCATCTCTACAAAAAAAAAAAAATGTACAGGGCATGGTGGTGAGCACCTATAGCTACTTGAAGGGGTTGAGGCAGGAGGATCATTTGAGCCTGGCAGGTCACAGCTGCAGCAAGCTGTGTTTGTATCACTGCAGTCCAGGCAGGGTGACAAAGCAAGATACTGTCTCCAATAGGAAAGAAATACTCGCCGGGCGCGGTGGCTCAAGCCTGTAATCCCAGCACTTTGGGAGGCCGAGGCGGGTGGATCACGAGGTCAAGAGATCAAGACCATCCTGGTCAACAAGGTGAAACCCCGTCTCTACTAAAAGTACCAAAAATTAGCTGGGCATGGTGGCGCATGCCTGTAATCCCAGCTACTCAGGAGGCTGAGGCAGGAGAATTGCCTGAACCCAGGAGGCGGAGGTTGCGGTGAGCCGAGATCGCGCCATTGCACTCCAGCCTGGGTAACAAGAGCGAAACTCCGTCTCAAAAAAAAAAAAAGAAAGAAATACTCTTGGTCATAGCTATGATTTCTTTATACCAAATATATTTGTGAATGCCAATCACAATGGGTTTGCCCCTAGGGTGATACAGTTTGATCACTTCCAAGAGTAAGTAGTACTACTATATAGCAGAGGAGGTGTGCTTAAAAAGTATGGCAAAATGCATATTGAGAAAATAGTATGTTGGCCAGACACAGGAGGCTCACACCTGTAATCTCAGCACTTTGGGAGTCCGAGGTGGGTCACCTGAGGTCAGGAGATCGAGACCAGCCTGGCCAACATGGTGAAACCACGCCTCTACCAAAAATAAAAAAATTAACTGAGCTTGGTGGCACATGCCTGTGGTCCTAGGTACTTAGGAGGCCGAGGTGGGAGGATCACCTGAGCCTGGGAGGTGAAGGATACAGTGAGCCAAGATTGTGCCACCGCACTCCAACCTGGGTGACAGAATGAGACCCAGTCTCAAAAGAAAAAGGAAAAACAGAAGGCAGTAAAGAAACCAGCCAAAACCAAGATGGCAATGAAAGTGACCTCTGGTAGTCCTCACTGCTCATTAAAACTTTTTTTTTTTCCAAGAGGGAGTCTCACTCTATCGCCCAGCTGGAGTGCAGTGGCACAATCTCAGCTCACAGCAACCTCCGCCTCCCTCCCAGGTTCAAACAGTTCTCCTGCCTCAGCCTCCTTTGTAGCTGGGATTGCAGGCACACGCCACCATACCCAGCTAATTTTTGTATTTTTAGTAGAGACAGGGTTTCACCATGTTGGCCAGCATGGTCTCAATCTCCTGACCTCGTGACCCGCCCACCTTGGCCTTCCAAAGTGCTGGGATTACAGGAGCACGCCACTATGCCCAGCTAATTTTTGTATTTTTAGTAGAGACGGGGTTTCACCTTGTTGGCAAGGATGGTCTCGATCTCTTGACCTTGTGATCCGCCTGCCTTGGCCTCCCGAAGTGCTGAGATTACAGGCATGAGCCACCACAGCGGGCTTAAAACTTTTTTAAAAAAAATATGAAAAGAGGCCGGGCACGGAGCTACTTGGGAAACGGAGGCAGGAGAATCGCCTGAACCCAGGAGGCAGAGGTTGCAGTGTGCCGAGATCGTACCACTGGACTCCAGCCAGCAACAGAGCAAGACTCCATCTCAAAAACAAACAAAAATCCTGAAAGTTCCACGTCCTAGGAAATTCCTCAGGCCCAGACAAACAAAGTCGGTCAAAATAAAAATTAAGGCCAGGGGCGGTGGCTCACACCTACAATCCCAACACTTTGGAAGGCCGATTCGGGAGGATCCATGAGGTCAGGAGTTCGAGACCAGCCTGACCAACATAGTGAAACCCTGTCTCTACTAAAAATACAAAAATGAGCCGGGCATGGTAGCATGTACCTTTAATTCCAGCTACTCAGGAGGCTGATGATGCACAAGAATCACTTGAACCTGGGAGATAGAGGTTGCAGTGAGCCAAGATTGCGCCACTGCACTCCAGCCTGGGGGACAGAGCACGACTGTCTCAAAAAAAATAATAAATAAAAATTTTTTTAAAATTGTGATTATTTCCCAAAACTTGGCCAAGCACAGTGTGACACCTGTAATCCCAGCACTTTGGGAGACCAAGGCAGGTGGATCACCTCAGGTCAGGAATTCAAGACCAACCTGACCTACATGGAGAAACCCTATCTCTACTAAAAATACAAAAATTGACCAGACATGATAACACATGCCTGTAATCTCAGCATGGGAGGCCAAGGCAGGTGGATCACCTGAGGTCAGGAGTTCGAGACCAGCCTGGCCAACATAGTGAAACTCCGTCTCTACTGAAAATATAAAAAATTAGCTGGGCATAGTGGCGCGAGTCTATAATCCCAGCTACTCGGGAGTTGGAGGTTGCAGTGGGTTGAAATCACACCATTGCACTCCAACTTGGGCAAAACTCCGTCTCCAAAAAAAAGAAAGTATTTTTTTTTACAATAGAAAGTAGTATGTTATGTTGCCCAACTCTCCCTCCAGTCTGAAATTTTAGACATAGGAGCATCATAATAAACAAGGCAGATCTGCCTCTTTTCTGCTTTATACTGGTCAGACTACGTTGTGAGTCTCAAGGTCACAATGTAGTCTAGTCCAATCACACTGTAAGAACAGAGAGCATTAGCTGGGCATGGTGGCGCGTGCCTGTAATCCCAGCTACTCAGGAGGCTGAGGCAGGAGAATTGCCTGAACCCAGCAGGCAGAGGTTGCAGTGAGCCGAGATCACGCCATTGCACTCCAGCCTGGGTAACAAGAGCGAAACTCCGTCTCAAAAAAAAAAAAAAAAAGAACAGAGAGCAAGAGCAAGTAGAAGAAAGCAGCCAGTGGTGAGGATACTTGAAATAACCATCTGAGCAACTACAGAGAGAACCCCGGGGGGACAGGGGCAAGCCAGGAGGGATGTTCTAACCACTTCATTCTTTCATTCAGCTGTCCTTTGAAGGTAGCTAACAGCTTTCCAGTTGTTGTTACATAATCTTCATTTTTTGTTTCTAATTGTCTTAGTTGGGTTTAAGCTACAAGAAAACTCGTTTGGAACTAACTAAAACTCTCTCACTCAAGGTGCAATTTGAGTATTAAGAAAAAAAAACCTCTCACATTAGGCTGAACTGTGGAACTACTTCGACAGGAGTGGGTAATGTACCATCTTCTGGCCAGATCACACATTTACATGACTCTAATGACAGTCTTGTATTGTCTTTAATTGACAACAGGAAGAGCTGAAGAGAGACCTGAAAATTAAGAAAGAAAAAGACCTGATGCAGGTGGCTCAAGCCACAGCAGTACCTGCACCCTGCCCCCCAGTGACGGCAGCCCCTCCAGCCCCTCCAGCCCCTCCACCTTCACCTCCCCCTCCACCTGCTGTGCAACAAGCAGGCCTCCTATCCACGCCCACCTTACCTGCTGCTTCCCAGAAGAGGAAGCGGGAAGAGGAAAAAGACTCAAGCTCAAAGTCCAAGAAGAAGAAAATGATCTCTACTACCTCAAAGGAAACTAAGAAGGACACAAAGCTTTACTGTATCTGTAAAACGCCTTATGATGAATCTAAGTGAGTAGATCTTTTTGAGCTCTAGTTTTTTGTCTTGAAAGTTTAGCCGTGAAATTGACAGTTTTGAAGACAATGAATATTTTGGGAGTGATATAAATGAAAATATTAAATTTAAGAGTAATGTTTCATCCGTGGTCTTGCATGTGATATTCTTACCCTTGACGCTAGTAAAGTAAAATTTGCTATTTCACGTGTTTGTGATTGTCCTTTGTTATATTCTTTTCTGTCAAAAACAAGCTTTCTGTTGCTCCTTTGTTTTCCCCTCTTCCCTCTGAATTAACTCCAAATCTATAAGTAATTGATGTCTGGAGAAGGAGGTGTCATACTGTTTCCCAGAATGGAGAGCATCCTTTCTGGGATCTGTTAAAAGTCCTGTGAATATATGAAATCCTGGAAACTATTTGAACATGAATGGGCTGAGGTTTTGAACCTGAATGGTTCGGTTTCTTAATTGTTTTGTTTTAAGTAGTTCTGTTTTTTATATTAAAATACTGCAACTCAATATTTTTGTCAAAGTTTCCACTTTCTTATCAGAGACAAAAGCCAGAAAAATGCAAGACGTGTTCCTTTTCCCCATTCCTCAAGCATAACGCCCAACAATTTGGCAGCTGGAAGCTGTTTTTGACAGTTGTGACTTGTATTTGGTGATATAAACAAGACTATAGAGGCACTAAAACATAAATGTAGTTTCATTTTTTTGGTCATTACTATCATTTTACAAAACATTTAACTTCTACTTTGAACATTAAAATATAGGCCAGCTTTTTAAAACCACAATTAACCACTATATTTTTTACAGCACCAAAAAGTTTGATTGTGCTTTAAAAAATAATCATTTAGAATCAATTAATTAGAATTAGGAATGCTTAATACCTACCTTAAGTGGATACCTGATTGATTCCTAAAATAAAATTCTGGTCTCTTCAATGATGTTCAAGTTGCAACATTAAAGCTGCTTTGGTGGTGCTATCTAAATGATAATCTGTTTGCAAATGCAGAATGAAAACTTTGTTGGTAGATTGAGCTGTGTGTTGAATTAAACACAAATCACTTTAGGCATCTTTACTTTTCATTATCTTACCTCATTGGAAATTACACATAATGTAAACAGTAGAACCCTGTTCAGTGATTTTTTTCCTTAATTTAATACAAGTGTGCCTCACTTTAAGCAAAATATACTAATTGATTTTGATTTCTGAAAGAGGAGTTTGCTTATTTTTCTTTTTCAGTTGAAAAGATTTCCTTACATAATTTCTTTAAATAACAAGGGTTCTTTGGCCTGTTTAGAGTATCAGATCACAGAAATTCATTTCACACACTTCTTTGAAATGCCTACATTGCATAAAATGAGGCACACATGTACATGTGCCCACTGCATCGTGATCGCCTCATTATTTTGTGGTTATTTTATGTTTTTCATTTTGTCATTATTAACATTTTAGTATGCCAGGTTCATTCACTCCCGGTTTTAGTTGAGATGAGTTAGTGTTTTCAAGGAGTAGTTCGTAATCTCTCATCCCAAACTAGGCTGGTTTGGGAATCCAGTGAGAGAGAGTGACTAAAAATTGAAATTCAAGTCCTGAACATCCCTCCAGAACACAGCCTATCACCCAGTGGAGATAACACACAAAGTACCTCAGAGGACCCCCACCTGTGGCAGTGAAAATCATGTGAGAGTCATAGTTCAAAAGAAAAAAGTGCTGGGCACCATGGCTCATACCTGTAATGTAAGCACTTTGGGAGGCCAAGGCAGAGGATCACCTGAGCCCCGGTGTTTGAGACCAGTCTGGGCAACATAAAGAGGCCCTGTTCTCTACAAAAAGTTGACTGGGTACAGTGGCTCATGCCTGTAATCCTAGCACTGTGGGAGGCTGAAGTGGACGGATCACCTGAGGTCAGGATTTCAAGACCAGCCTGGCCAACATGGTGAAATCCTGTCTCTACTAAAAATACAAAAATTAGCCAGGTGTGGTGGCACACACCTGTAATCCCAGCTACTCGGGAGGCCAAGGCAGGAGAATCGCTTGAACCCAAGAGACAGAGGTTACAGTGAGCTGAGATTTCGACACTGCACTCCAGCCTAGGAGACAGCCAGGCTCCATCAAAAAAAAAAAAAAAGCTGGGCCTGGTGGTGCACACCTATAGTCCCAGCTACTCGGGAGGCTGAGGTGGGAGGATCACATGAGCCTGGGAGGTCCAGGCTTCATGGGGCCGTGATCCTGACCCTGCTCTACAGCCTGGGCTCTACAGCAAGACACTGTCTCAAAAATAAAAAAGTTAGTGGTAACAGGATAAACTACATAACCATATATTATTCCTTCACATTCATGAAGCAGGTCAATTTGAAGCTTGAGGACGACTTCCATTCCTCTAGGTGAATCTACCAAGAAATGCCTTGGTAGAACTAACAGTACCAATGGTATCAGCAAGGCCAGTCTGCTTCCCTGTGATTCATGGTAATTCTCACTATGACTTTGACATGGTGTTCCTGCACAGCGCCTATCAACACTTGTACACACACTGTATAAGCATTTGTTACATTTACTTTTCCTTTTGTCATTAGAGGTCTTTTATTACAGAGGCCACTCTGCACTCCACAATTACACACTTATACAGCTCCATCTTACCAAACACTGTAGAACCTCACAGGTTTTAGATAACTATACTGGCATTGTTGTCCACACCGGGTCCCTGGTGTTGAATTGAAACAGCTCCTTCCAAGTTCCTTGCCCGTTAATTAGCCAGGCCACTGTCCATATTGTCACAGACATTGTATTAACTGAAAAACTGGCCCATGCCATAATCCATTATGAGAGATTTTTTTAATTAGATTAAATTCCATTGTTTATTCAGCAAATCTGGTAGAGATTGAATTGCTATATGTAACTTTCTTAGTTCTCTTCTTCATATCATATTTTGACCATTTATCTTCTACACCTGGCTGACCTGCATGTTCTTGTAGTGTAACTTCTACTTGGTGTTTGCGCTTTGCTTTGTTTTCAAATTTAAATTGTGAGATACATTTTCAAACCTATCTAAGAAATAGCCCTGATATTGAAATGGCTTCTGTGGAATAGGTTTGACAGATGTAAGTCTTTGATTCTTTGGCTTTGGTTTTTGTGCCTGTTACAGTTTTACACACATTCATTCAGAGGAAGACATTACCATCAGTGTGTTGTTTCTTTTTTCAAATTCTAGTATGTTTTTAAAGACCCATATTTCACTAAGCAGTGTACTTGTTGAAACTGATGTGAGTGACTTTATGTTTCCACACATGATAGAGCGTCAGCTACTGGAGTTTGCCAGGGGTAGAATGGTTGGATTCAGGAATGTTTAGCTGACTCATTGCAGGAAGTTATCCTGTAAAAAAAGTGAATCAAGGCAGGGAAGACAGATTTAAGTACCATGCAGCTCAAAATGACAATTACATTGTCATTTTCATTGTGAATACTTTTAGGTTCTATATTGGCTGTGATCTTTGTACTAACTGGTATCATGGAGAATGTGTTGGCATCACAGAAAAGGAGGCTAAGAAAATGGATGTGTACATCTGTAATGATTGTAAACGGGCACAAGAGGGCAGCAGTGAGGAATTGTACTGTATCTGCAGAACACCTTATGATGAGTCACAGTGAGTTCCGATAAGGACATCATATTTAATAATTTAGGAAGCCAAATTGCTCTGACTGGTTACTTATTTATTTTAAAATAAAAAGCAGATTTTTTTTCTACATTGATTATACACTTACATTACAAATTCCTTTTCAATTTTTTTTTCTCTTTTTCCCTCTTTACCTACCCTTCAAAATTTATCTTGCTTCATAGTGAATGTTTGAGACACGTTGGGGAAATGTGGTTTAATGGTAGATTTGATTCTTCAATATGTAACATAGAAATTAATGAGATTAAAATAGCCTGACTTGTTTGGACTTTATCAGTGTTTGAAATGGTGCTTTATTGCAGGTTAGAAAAAAACTAATTTGGGTACAAGCTCTGAGACTGTTACTGGCTTGTAGGAATTTGAACTCCCATACAATACAGTACTAGTGGAAAGATTTTTGGCTTTGTTTTCAGCTTTAAAATCAATTAAATGTTTTATATTTATTTTTAAATTGGTTCTCCAATATTACACAGTGTTCTTACAAATTTTTTTACTGCTTGTTCTTAACATCAAAAATACTAAATTAATGTACTGGAATGTCAATCTTGAAAGTATTAAAATCGTAATACTAAAACTATTTTACATCCCAGGGTTTAGCAAGTTTTCAGGTGCATGCTTTATTATAAGGAACATCATCCCATCTGTTTTTCAACTCACATTTCCGTTTCGGATCTTGCAGATTTTATATTGGCTGTGATCGGTGTCAGAATTGGTACCATGGGCGCTGCGTTGGCATCTTGCAAAGTGAGGCAGAGCTCATTGATGAGTATGTCTGTCCACAGTGCCAGTCAACAGAGGATGCCATGACAGTGCTCACGCCACTAACAGAGAAGGATTATGAGGGGTTGAAGAGGGTGCTCCGTTCCTTACAGGTGAGAGACCCCTCTGTGTGCAGCATTTGAAAATAAAATCAACGACCATAAGTTTGGAAGCATTTCTAGGATTTCAAGTTTCCAATCTTAGCGTGATTATTTACTGACTCCCAGCTAGTCTAGTGTAGTGCTTAACGCACTTCAGTTCTTCATGTACCAGTGTCCTGAGCTTTGCCATATCTCCACACAAACTCAGTTTATCTAACACACATAAGAGTTTTCACGTGACTCACTTATTTATACATTTGATTTTTATTTTTATTTTTATTTTTTTTTGGGGGGCCAGGGGACACCGCGGGGCTGTCCAGGAAGCGCTACATTTGATTTTTAAAGAAACTTCCTCTCACCCCCGTGGATTGAGAAATAGTTTGATTAGATTGTAGTTATTCTTTTCCTTTTGAAAAACAGAAAGGGGGCCGAGCACAGTAGCTCACACCTGTAATCCCAGCACTTTGGGAGCCTGAAGCAAGCAGATCACGAGGTCAGGAGTTCGAGACCAGACTGGCCAACATGGTGAAACCCTGTCTCTACTAGAAATACAAAAAAATTAGTTGGGCATGGTGGTGCACACCTGTAATCCTAGCTACTAGGGAGGCTGAGGCAGGATAATCGCTTGAACCCAGGAGGCAGAGGCGGCAGTGAGCCAAGATGAGCCACAGCACTCCAGCCCAGGCAACAGTATGAGACCCCGTCTCAAAAAAGAAAAAGAAACAAAAGAAAGAAAAACAGGATGGGGATGGTTTGCAGGATTAGCAAGTGATAGAGATGTATTGAAGGCCAGTGTGGGCCGGGTGCAGTGCCTCACACTTGTAACCCCAGCACTTTGGGAGGTCAAAGTGGGCGGATCATGAGGTCACAGGTTCCAGACCACCCTGACCAACATGGTGAAACCCTGTTTCTAGTAAAAATACGTAAATTGGCCTTGCATGGTGGCACATACCTGTAATCTCAGCTACTCACCAGGCTGAGGCAGGAAAATCACTTGAACCCAGGAGGCAGAGGTTGCAGTGTGCCGAGATTGCACCACTGCACTCCAGGCTGCGTGACAGAGCGAGACTCCATCTCAAGGGGGGGAAAGAAAAGGCCAGTGTGGTGTTCACACCTATAATCAGCACTTTGGGAGGCCAAGGCAGAGGATCACTTGAGTCAACAAGTTAGAGACCAACCTGGGCAACAAAGTAAGACCCCATCTCTGAAAACATTTATTTAAAAAAATTAGCTTGGCATGTTGGCACTCACTTGTAATCCCAGCTACTTGGAGACTGAGGTGAGAGGATCCCTTGAGCACAGTGAACTATGATCATGCCACTCCACTCCAGCCTGGGTGACAGAGCAAGACCTTGTCTCAAAAAAAATGGGGGAAATAAGAGGTTATAGTGCAATGGATTGAAACTTTCTTGGCCAGGCGAGGTGGCTCACGCCTGTAATCCAAGCACTTTGGAGGCCAAGACGGGCGGATCACCTGAGGTCGGGAGTTCAAGACCAGCCTGACCAACATGGTGAGACCCCATCTTTAAAAAAAAAAAAAAAAGAAAGAAAGAAACTTTCTCCTATTGTTATCATGATCACAAGAATTCACGTACCTAAAAAGAGAATAGTCATCTCAATGTGTGGTTCAGTGTCATTTAGCATCACATCTCTGCCACCTCATCATAACCAGCTGTGGTAGTGACTCCATACTTTGAACCCATCCCACCTGTTGACAGAAGCAGTTGCAATGCCAGCATCACTGAGTGAGTGACAGGTCATCATGTAGGACACAGAATACTGATTTTGTGAATTCTAACTTGTGCTCCAGCCCTCCACACTAAGGTCTTCTGGCCAGCTTTTGAGTACCATTATTGTAGAGGATGCTTATCTTCGGTAACTTATTACTAGAGCAGAAATCACCTCATATGGTTTGTTTGTTTGTTTGTTTGTTTGTTTGTTTTTGAGATGGGGTCTCATTCTTATTGCCCAGGCTGGAGTCCAGTGGCTCGATCTCAGCTTACTGCAATCTCCACCTCCCCGGTTTAAGCAGTTCTCCTGCTTCAGCCTCCCACGTAGCTGGAATTACAGGACAGGCACACACCACCATGTCCGTAATCACAACTATTCAGGAGGCTGAGGCAGGAGAATCACTTGAACCTGGGAGGTGGAGATTGAAGTGACCCAGAATCGTACCACTGAACTCCAGGCTGGGCAACAGAACGAAACTCCATCTCAAAAGAAAAATTTTTTTAAATTAACCTTTATGTTCATTGATGTAGTAACTCAACCGGGAAACTTAAATGGAAGTAGTGTTTTCACTGACAATAATGATGCCTATTTTTTCATTATAGGCCCATAAGATGGCCTGGCCTTTCCTTGAACCAGTAGACCCTAATGATGCACCAGATTATTATGGTGTTATTAAGGAACCTATGGGTAAGTACATGAGTTGAATGTGAAGTTTTTTCAGAAGTCTCAGTGGATATTTCATCCGTAAAATTAATATCTTAGAATGTTTTTAGCAAGCCTGGTGGTGGTATACATTGGTATGGTTACTTTGGAGGGTAAATTGGTAATATCTATATAAAGTTTAATTGTGCATACTCTTGAACCCAGCAGTTTCACTTCTTAGGATTTACATATGCATGGGTATGTTCATTGCAGCAGTATTTATAATTACAAAAACATTGGAAACGGGCCAGGAGGGGTGGCTCACGCCTGTAATCCCAGCACTTCAGGAGGCTGAGGCAGATGGATCACCTGAGGTCAGGAGTTCAAGACCAGCCTGGCCAACATGGTGAACCCTGTCTCTACAAAAATAGAAAAATTAGCTGGGTATGGTGGCAGGCACCTGTAATCCCAGCTACTGAGGTGGCTGAGGCACAAGAATCACTTGAACTCGGGAGGCAGAGGCTGGAGTGAGCCAAGATAGCGCCACTGCAATCCACGTGGGCCACAGAGCAAGACTCCGTCTCAAAAAAAAAAAAAGAAAGAAAAAAGAAATTAGGGCTGGGCGCGGTGGCTCAAGCCTGTAATCCCAGCACTCAGCGAGGCTGACGAGGGTGGATCACCGCCTCAAAAAAAAAAAAAAAAAAGAAATTAGAAAAATTACCCTGTCTCTACTAAAAACACAAAAAATTAGCTGGGCATGGCCTGTAATCCCAGCTACTCAGGAGGTTGAGGCAGAAGAATCACTTGAACCCGGAGGTGGAAGTTGCAGTGAGCCAAGATCATGCCATTGCACTCCAGCTTGGATGATTCTGTCTCAAAAAAAAAAAAGAAGAAAAATTAAAACATAGCTAAAAGCTTTCAAAGAATCACTTACCGCTAGTGAAAGAATTATGTTCCAAAAGCTAGCTAAGCATTTTTTTAAATGAGAAGAGTTTGTGTTTGGTGGCAGCTTCAAAGGGGGGAAACATGAAGGGGAAATAAATGGAGACTATCTCTGAAAAACAAACATAAACAAGTAGTTATTATCTCTGTTCTCCTGATGTTGAAGATGAAGGAGTTAATCATTGTACATATTTCAAATTGGTGTAGTCACCTTTGAGAAAGTACCTGGGATGTTTACTAAAATAAGTATGCTGGCAATAGAAAAAATAGTACAAGTTAATGGTAGACAATTTACAAAATAAATACTATTCAAAATTAGCCAGGTATGGTGGCACATGCCTGTAATTCCAGCTACTCGGGAAGCTGAGGCAGAAGCAGCACTTGAACCCAGGGGGAGAGGTTGCAGTGAGCCCAGATGGTGCCATTGCACTCCAGCCTGGGCAACAAGAGCAAAACTCCATCTAAAAAAATAAAAAATAAAAAAATAAGACATCAGGATAGGCCAGGCACGGTGGCTCATGCTAGTAATCCCAGCACTTTGGGAAGCTGAGACAAGCCTTGAGCCCAGGAGTTCAAGCCCAGCCTGGCCAACATGGTGAAACCCCATCTCTACTACAAAAAAGTACAAAAATTGACTGGGCGCCATGGCTTACGCCTGTAATCCCAGCACTTTGGCAGGCCGAGGCGGGTGGATCATGAGGTCAAGAGATAGAGACCATCCTGGTCAACATGGGGAAACCCTGTCTCTACTGAAAATACAAAACATTAGCTGGGCATGGTGGTGCGTGCCTATAATCCCAGCTACTC